AGACGTGGTATTGAGCCAGAGAGCAGTTAGTTGTGGCTGGTAGAGTTGTAACCTCAAGCCTTGTGACCCAAGGCACGCCAATGAAGGTAAATTAAGTCACCTGACTACCGCCACCAAAACAATAATTTAGGGAGCCAATAACCGCATATAAAGACAATTCTCTGTGGACAAAACAATCAGGAAGAAAACACTGAACAAAGTTAAACAGCTGGCAAGGGATGCAGTAACGCGATACGATACAGTGAGGATCGGGTGCAAAGCACAACAATGTGTGATGCTAATATGTACAGGCAGAAGACATGGACGGGTTATTAGATAAGCTGTTACGGATGCGCTGGAACAAAGCGTGGCATGCATGGAATGAGTGCATACAGATTTTTGTGCCTTACCTCGATCACTTCGCAGTCAATCGACATCTGGGGCTTGGATGTCAGACATTGTTTTACAAGCCGATAGGACGGGTCTGGTTCAGCCGATTCCACAATCGCCCGTTTTGTGGACTAATAAAAAGATTGAAAAATGATGGATGCAGAAAGTTCACAGAAACCTGGTTCGATAAAACATTAAACGAGAGCGGAGAAATCTTTGAAAAGAAGTTGGTATCCGATCAAGATTCGATGTTTTTTTCAAATAAAGTGAAACTAAATGAGGTCTTTATTACAAAAAGTAGAACCTTAGATAATAGATTACGTGTGCGAAAACGGCGAATCTAATATGATACATATTGCACAACAAATCCTTAAAGATGATCCGAATTTTGCCACACCTTCGGTTTCCTTTTTTACGGTCGGTCTTATCAAAATACGCATTTAGTTCACTGTCATAAATTTAATTGATCCGTAACTTTTTTCGCATTCTCTGTCTGTCTTGCGATGTTTGCTGATTCATGAACGCTCGGCATGACAGAAAGGTTATGGTTGCAAAAATCTTCAGTTTCATGATCAGAATGTGTAAATCAACATATGATACCTTGATTCATCCCCCATCATTATTAATACTGACTGGGAATATGCGCTAATGTAGATCCACTGATGTACGCACAATGTATTCGATCAAAACAGAACAGAAGAATCAGTATATCATATACATTTTCTGCCAGAAGGAGAATCTATTGTTGTTTTGCCTCTGAGCACTTCACCCTCCTCGAATCATCGCGTATAAAATCAAACGGGAACAGGCAAGATTGATGACTTTAGTGCTAGCATGCATGCATGACATATAAAGATTTTATCATCACACGAAAACGTAAGAAAAACAGTTTTACGGCCTCTGGAGTGCGCACGACATAGTTTGACGAATGCATACTGAGAAAAGGTGAGCGAATTTGGATGCGCCCAAGATGTATTTCCGTAGCCGCATCACAAAGCAATAAACCCTTTCAATTATCCGGAAGCTGTCACTGGGAATCGACTTAGTTCAAAATCACTATAAAGTAAAATACATTTCTGATTTTGCTTAATGCATTGCTTGGACTGAAAAAATGAAGCCGAAATGACGACGCAAACTTTCAGGAAAAGCCTGAATATTAGAAACATTTCTGACCAGCTGCCACTAAGGACGACACCCGAAAAAACTTAAATAAGCTATTTGTATCAGCCTCCGTGTGCGATGTTTAGTATGCTGGGAGCCCATAGGTCTATCCCATATGGGGTTCACAATTTAAACCCGGGACGGACTGATGGATGGATATGCGATGCAAATGAGCTCCAATGAGAACAAGTCGTGTTTTTAGATTGTATGCTTTACTAGAAGCGCTGAGGATTATGTGTGAAGAAGAAATCTGGAAGACAGTTAGAACATATTATTAACAACATATCCCACATCACCACGCGAAGTAAAAAAAGCGAAGAGAATTAATTGGAAACCGAAACACTGGCACTAGCATCCTTGCATTTCGTTAGGCCCTAACAATGAAAAATTTGAGTTTGAAGAAACTATTCTGTCTGCCTTACAGGTCGAGCCTTGACGAATTCTTGCGGTGAAAAACATGGTAATAAGTAGTGCATTGCGCAAACTAATGCCAGAAATTGATCCACTTGGAACAACTGAGTGTGATTCATGCATGCACTCATTTGGGGAGTGGAGAGACGTTCAGAAAAAAACAATGGAGAGATAAATACGAAATCATTCATGTTCAGAATCACAGAAAATTTGGAAAAGTACTACGTGACGCAACGACTCACTTGCTTATGACACTGACTATCGACCAAGGGTGCAGTAGTGGATGTGCTGGATTCTTCCACGCATGTGGGACCGACAACCTGAGTGAGTTGGATTCCATCGATCTGATGCAAGGAGAAAACTTGATGAGATCTGCCGTCGAAGAATCGGTGAACTGTCATCAACTACAAACTGACCCCCCCCTCCGCAGATAAACCTAGTTACTCAGTGACCTGATGATAGGGACAACGAACTGAGTTTTAAATTAAGGATCGTAGCATTTGCCTCAGTTGTGGAGGAATTCGAAGCATAATACTGCTGCATTCTTTAGTGAACAACAATGATCTCTTTCTTGTTTGCCCTTTTAAATATGCGGATGACATAGTTCTACTACAGACCGTGTCTTGAAACTCGAAAGTCACTCACTTTACAAGACGTTTTGCTCATAAGTAAAATTTCTATTTTAATAAAGCTGGACTCCCCCTGAATAATCTAAAAGGTTTTGAGAGCGTTTTCCATACTCCTCGTGTATGAAAATTAGAAACAAACAACAGAGACGCTGGATGATTGTTATTGATGCTTTTTTATAACATACCTTAGTGTGATGAATACCAGACGGGGTGGACCCCATAGTCACGAGGACCTACTGTTCAGTGATGGAAACCGGTAACTTAAGTTCTGGGACTGGGAGTGACGAACCACATCTTAGTTAGGCGTGGTATTGAATAGGACGGCAGCGAAGCTGCTTACTACCAAAGTTGGATGGCGGTGGCGGGGCTCAAATCTCGGACCATAGGGTCCAAAGTACGTCGGTGACAGCGACTTGATCACTGCGCCACCACCACCCGCAACAGAGTGAAAGTTTCGATTGCCAACGGAAGAATGACACTAGTATCATAGTGGGCCAACTAAATTGATATCCAGAGTAAAGAGGACCACAAATAAACTTGAAATGAACGAAACTAACCTGAGGTGCAGCAATCGCTGCACTAATATCTGCAGTAGCCGAAGATGAAGACAAATTTTGCTTGAATTTACTTCCACTTTGTTTGCTGGACTTCTGGAATAAAAAAGATAGCTATTTACAAACAGTAAACGAGGACGTTTATTAACCATTACCATGTGAGGAATGAATGTCAGGACACCTCTGATGAGAGCTTATGGAATCAACGAAACTAGGACAGTAAGCAGAACCCTGTGTGACGGCGAATCAGAACCAAATGAAAAAACGATATTAAAAATGAGAAAGACGAAGCGAACTGGAGAGCTTATAATCGCATTATAAAATCCCAGGATAGTTCTATTACAATAGTTCTCTATAGAAAGGAGATATAAACGATGATAAACAGCTAAAGTAGATAAATTTTCGTTACAGCTGTCACGTAACAGAATAGTGCTTTCATGCAGGATCATATAGTACGTACCAAATGGTAAGTTTAGTTAAGTTAAGTTACACGAAGGTTTTGTTCGATCTTTTAACCTGTTTACTCAGTACATCGGGATTACGTTTCCTATTGTACCGATAAGGTAATTCGGCCGCCCAAAACAGTGGAAGCTCCATGGCGAATACGAGCACGACTATTGCAGATGTTTGAAGTATATACGGAGTGATATTTTTTTTCAACAAAACGCAACACTAATCGAAACTTGTTAGTAGTATGTTTATGAAATCGAACGCGACAATTCATTATTGATACCAATACTGCACGATAGTTGACAAAGAGCACGGCACCTCTGCATTGTCCATATTGTGACGTATTAACAGTGCATACGATGTTCAGCATTCCTGGTGGAACTCAAATGGAAACACTCGAGAAGCCAAAACCATTCAGCTGAGCTACGCGGTCCATGGTTGAATTCAGGAACAACCGGCTACACGAATTTCGAATACCCCAAGCAGATAAAACTAACTCAACATGAAGGGAAGGATGGAACGGACTAATAAGGATTGTAATCTACAACCATCCGCATTACATAAGCCTTGTGAAATTATGTGAGTTAATTCAACGACAGTTCGGCTAGTTATACGACAAACCATATACTATGGATTCGAATGATTAGTCAGCAAGTAGACATGTTCCAATTCCCTTCGGAATGAAGATTGCTAATTAAAGTGTATATTTTTGAAAATAACTAAAAAGTATTCATATTGCTTGATAAATGGGGTTCTGTGACGAAACCAGTGTATGGAACTTTGAGGTCATGTGTGAAATCAGACAGATAGGCTGGGAATAGGTGACACAAGAATGAAAAAACTACAGTCGTTGATGCACATTCTTCATCTGAAACTTGCTCCGTTTCAGTCCTTTACCTTGGAGACGATTAAATTCTCTAAATGTCAACCATATTTCTTGCAATGTGCATTTATCCTCGGATTCCGGGGGAAACAGATCACACAAATCAAATATACTGCCCCGAAGTTCATATGCATTACATCTATTTATAATCAACCACAAGAAGCTGGAATTCATCTGTTTGAGGGATTGTATGTGGGAGTGTCAGAACTGGACTACGATACGACCAGAGCATTGCTGCATCCAACCAGAAGTTGAACACAAACTGAACTTATAACAAGAAACCAGAGTAGAGGTGAGACAGACAACCAAATCTAAGTACCTACGCACTGAATTCAAAGTCAACCAGTGTTAAACATTTGCTGTCAAATCTAATGCGGATTGAACAAAGCGCTGGAAAGTTGGGATTATAGTAATGAATATTTAGGAGAGAACAGATAACACAACCTCTGTACATCTCACCTGAGTCCCGCCAGAAACGACTTTGTGAGCTATTCCGGTAGTTTCCTTCGCCTGTTTTCGCTCAACTTCTTTCAGCTTTTCCGTGATCTATAGGAAAAAGAACAGACCGTTTGTGATGCTCATAAAATTCGCTATTTTTCCTATTCGAAATATTATGTTCAATGTTCTTCATTTAGAGGCAGAGGGTAATTTCCCGTATGAGCCTCATCACCACAGACTCGAAGATCTCATTCATGATAGATCTGCATACCACATTGTTCGCAGGACGCTGTCGAGCTTCCTC